CTGATAACAAGTTCAAACAGTTACACTCCACTATGGTGAAGACCAAAGAGCTGTCGAAGGACACCAGAAACAAAATTGTAGACCTGCACCAAGCTGGGAAGACTGTATCTGCAATAGGCAAGCAGCTTGGTGTGAACAACTGTGGGAGCAATAATTAGAAAATGGAAGACATACAAGACCACTGATAATCTCCCTCGATCTGGGTCTCCACGCAAGATCTCACCCCGTGGGGTCAAAATGATCACAAGAACGGTGAGCAAAAATCCCAGGACCACACGGGGGGACCTAGTGAATGACCTGCAGAGAGCTGGGACCAACGTAACAAAGGTTACGATCAGTAACACACTACGCCAGGGACTCAGATCCTGCAGTGCCAGACGTGTCCCCCTGCTTAAGCCAGTACATGTCCGGGCCCGTCTGAAGTTTGCTAGAGAGCATTTGGATGATCCAGAAGAGGATTGGGAGAATGTCATATGGTCAGATGAAACCAAAATAGAACTGTTTGGTAGAAACACAACTCGTCGTGTTTGGAGGAGAGAGAATGCTGAGTTGCATCCAAAGAACACATACCTATTGTGAAGCATGGGGGTGGCAACATCATGCTTTGGGGCTGTTTCTCCACAAAGGGACCAGGACGACTGATCCATGTACAGGACACAATGAATGGGGCCATGTATCGTGAGATTTTGAGTGCAAACCTCCTTCCATCAGCAAGGGCATTGAAGATGAAAGGTGGCTTCCAACATGACAATGATCCCAAACATACCACCCGGGCAACGAAGGAGTGGCTTCGTAAGAAGCATTTCAAGGTCCTGGAGTGGCCTAGCCAGTCTCCACATCTCAACCCCATAGAAAACCTTTGGAGGGAGTTGAAAGTCCGTGTTGCCCAGCGACAGCCCCAAAACATCACTGCTCTAGAGGAGATCTGCATGGAGGAATGGGCCAACATACCAGCAACAGTGTGTGCCAACCTTGTGAAAACTTACAGGAAACGTTTGACCTCTGTCATTGCCAACAAAGGATATATAACAAAGTATTGAGATGAACTTTTGATATTGACCAAATACTTATTTTCCACCATAATTTGCAAATAAATTCTTTCCAAATCAGCCAATGTGATTGTCTGGATTTTTTTTCTCATTTTGTTTCTCATAGTTGAGGTCTAACTATGATGCCAATTACAGGCCTCTCTCATCTTTTTAAGTGGGAGAACTTGCACAATTGGTGGCTGACTAAATACATTTTGCCCCACTGTATATATACATTTTATATACATATATATATATATATATATATATATATATATATATATATATATATATACATACATACATATACACACACACACACAGCAGTATTTCCACTATGGGGCGGCGGGCACGCGGTTAAAGCATTTTGTATTAAAAACACAACACCCTCAGTGGACAGGAAAGACCACCTTCTGTTTATGGTCATTTTCAGTCATCAGCTCACTGACTGCAGTGAATGCTGCAAAAACATACATATACTTCACATACAAAAAGCAAATTAGCAGAGCTCATTTTTACTCACCCGACCACCTACTGAACTGGCTGAGGACCTCTGAGAATTTTGGCGTTGTGCAGTCACACCAGGTTTAGGCTTTTCATGAATCTGAGCTTCCTGATGCCTACGCATTCGCTCCAGCTGCTCCTCAGCACTCATTCTCTGTTTCCGGACTGTTCCCATTTCTGGCATATTAGGAGGGGAAGCCTGAAGAGAACAAGATTAACAAATGTTAACTAAACATAATTTCTGTTACCTGGGTGGCATGAATTTGATCCTAAATCTGAACATTTTACTTGTTCCGATGCAATAATGTTCACTTTGTCCAGTGAATGTGTTTGCAGTGCATCAAAGGCTTTCAACCGTATATAAATACACACACACACTCTGTATATACACGGGAACAGCTTGTTGCACATCTGATCAACGTGTGGTAATCTTTTAAAACCCTTTTTCTATGGGTGCTTTGCGTATTCTGTTGGTATTTTGTTTTCTGAGCCCACTTGGGCCTTTATAGACTAGTAATATAACTGAAGCAATTGATCTGTAGCTTTGTCTGTGTTGGTCACATTGGCCTGCACTTAAAAGTGAGTAAATCCTTTCTTGGCCCAGCAATCAGATATAGTCAATTGCAAGAAATGTTAAAGGTAAAGCTGACTTTTTAATATATTATACAGAATTTGGATAAACAGATTGTGGCTTGTTTCATATGTTGCCTGGTATATATATTAAAAGCTTTTTATTGGCTTTATAGATGAGGCAAAATAGTGATATAAAGAAACTTTTAGTATGTTTAACCACTTGCCGACCGCAGACAGCCGAATACACTGCTGATAGCAGATAGTTTCACTGCAGCCGGCCAGCTCTGGGTGGACATCATATGACGTCCTCTCAGAACGCACTCTCCTGCACGCCTCCGGCTATCTCCGTGATCACTGTGTTCTACGGACATGGATATGGTAAAAGGCCAATCACAGCAGCCTTTTATCACGTGATCATCCGTGTCCAATGACACACTGATCACCGAGAAATGCAATTCCCGGCTCTCGGCTGCACTTTCCTCATGCTGTCACAGCGTGAGGAAAGTACTGCCGAGAAATGGCAGTTGTCAGAGGAGGGATCGGCACCGACTGATGATCAGTGCCCAGCAGTGCCGCCAGTCAGTGACCAGTAGTGCTGCCTATCAGTGCAGCCTCATCAACGCACATCAGTGAAGGAGAAAAATTACCTGTTTGCAAAATTTTATAATAGAAACAAAGAAAAACTTTTTTTTTTTCAAATGTTTTGCTCTTTGTTTAGAGTGCAAAATAAAAAATAAAAAAAAACCCCACCCAGTGGCGAGTAAATACCACCAAAAGAAAGCTCTATTTGTGTGAAAAAAAAAAAAGATAAAAATTTCATATGGGTACAATGTTGCATGATCGTACAAATGTAATTCAAAGTGTGCTTGCTAAGGAAGGGGGCATAAGTGTCTGGTAGGCAAGTGGTTAAACACAGATTGGTATATAATATAAAACTTTTCATTGTTGTCATGTAATAAGCTGTCCCATTGTTGTCCCCATCATGCACAGTTTGTAGCTATAGATGTACATGAATGGCAGCCATATTTTCACATGGCATATGCAGGTACTACCTGTTTTGCATAAAAAAAAAAAAAAAGATGATGCGTTTACAATGAAAATCTATCAGTCTGGAAACTGGATCCAGTTGATGCCATTTCTGGCTGATATCTTTTTCAAACACAGATGGTAGCCAAACCGCCCTGCCTCTTGTGGCTCATCTATAAATCTCTATTTTGAATAATAGAACAAAAAAAAACACCTGCAAAAACTACTCTTTGTGACAGAAACAAATGCCTTAGCTACTATGAATTACTGCACATCATCAGTGCTTCATACATACTTACCTTAGTTTCCAAGGTCATTTTATGACTTGCAGGTATGGACACTGGGGAAGAAACCTGCATGGGATGAGCATCTATGACATCTCTGCTTGGCAATGCTGCATCTTAAAAAAAAAAAAAAAAGTATTAAAATAGAATACATATTTCTGCAAAAAGCTACATATATAAAAGAAACATGCATAATTATTTAAGGACATGTATCTTGGCTACAGTAAGCATATGCAGATAATACATCATATACATTATACAGACAAGTTTTATAGTTCATGTCAAATTAAACTTTCAGCTTAATTCAGCTAAATCTGTTCAATAAACCAGGTGCGTCACAACAAAGGTGTTTAACTGCTTCCCATCCCCCCTATAGCAGAAATACTGCTACAGGGTGGCACAAAATCATGTATACATACATGTGATTTTGCTGTTTGAGGTAGGGGGCGCATGTGAGCCATTCGTGGCTTCGGCTGTTGATCACCGGGTCCCAGCCAGTGATTACTCGCCAGCACCCAGTGATTGCCAAGTATTACCAAAGGAGGAGAGAACTGTAAACTGTATGTACTCAATACAGTTCTATCCTGTCAGCTCCTGCACACTGCTTTGTGTACAGTGTAAAGCACACACATAGCATACTGTGAAACAGCACACAGTTAACCCTTTGATTGTCCCACGTTAACCCCTTCCTGCCCAGTGCCATTAGTACAGTGTCAGTGCTTTTTATTAGCACTGATCACTGTATTGGTGTCACTGGGGATGTCAGTGACACCAAGTCAGTTTCCCCCAGTGTCAGAATGGCCGCCGTAGTCCCACAGTCCAGCTATAAGTCACTCATTGCCGCCATTACTAGTAAAAAAAATAAATAAATTAAAAAAATTCCAGTATATGCTTGTTTTGTTGAAAAAGCCTGTCCTCTACTAGCATGCTCTGAGGCGAAGCAGTGGTCTCTCTACATAGGTCTGGCACACCCTCTGCTGAAGTAGAGCTCTGCATTCTGCATATCTAATGCTTTCCTTCTAGCTTTGACTCAGCAGGGGGCATGTCAGACCTCCGCAGAGTGACTACTTCCATAAAGAGCAAGGGTCATTCTCTACAGCAAGCTGTCAGGGGATAGGCTTTTTTACTCAAGATGTGGTCGCTTTCTAAAGAAAACAAATACTTTAAACACCTTTGTTGATGTACCTGAAATGTAGCGGATTTAAACTGAAATTTCAGTTGGGCTTTAGGCCTCATTCACACAATGGTGAAGAGATGTGAGTTTTTCTGTACGCATTGTGCAAGGGCACAAAGAAAATTGTTCTCTATGTGTCCCGTTCACACCACAACACTGGTATCACATGCAGAAATCTGCAACGTGTATAAAACTCACTGAAATAGGCAGGAAAACTGATGTAAACTGAGCTCTCTGCAAGTGGAATCTGTGTGGGTTTTTTTCCCATCAGCTTTTCAGAGTGTACAGTGTGATCAAGGCCTTAATTCTATATATCAAATTATTAACTCACAAAAAAAGATTTTGTAATAGGAAATAATAGAATTATTTCCAAAAGCTTAATATCAATTATTAGGACATCTTGGTTGCCTTTTGCCTGCTGGTATGCAGATTTTGCTTCAGAAACCACAAAATCAACAATGGAGGACCTCCACTACTACAATAGGGGAGTTTATCTTTTTATTGGATATAAATGTACTTATCCTTTTAGTTCCAGTGAGCTGCAGGATCACTCAAAAATACTCACCACTTGATGTGCTTGATTGTGGTGCTGTGTGGTTTTCCTGCTGTTCATTAAGATGATCTTGTTGATTCTGATATTCAATGTTGCCATAGGATATAAAAATAAACCACATATAAAGACATTCCTTATAGAACAGTAGAATAGATCTTCAGCATATATCCAGATATTAGTTTTTATTCTTCTGGGAACTGCAGAGGCATGGATACTTCTATATACAATATCAAAGTATTTAAAATAACTTCTACACATCTAAAAAAACTTTTTGCTTTGTGCTTCACAAGGAGTACAAGTACAGACATCTATGGGAATAAAAGGGAACTGCAGGTTACATGCATTGCAGGCAGGCTAGCCCAGGACAGACTTGAAGTATAAAAGCTGTGCAGAGTAGGGTGGGCCACAAAGTAAAAATCTCTAAAGCGGGGTTGAAAGAAGGCATTTACCCATAGGTGATTTACTACTGGGGGAGTGGGTGGGGTAAAATGAGTGCTCTATAAATGAAAACACTTTTAAAAGTGCACTTGTTAATTACTAAATCAACATTTGCCAATACTCCCATATATATATATACACACACACACACACACACACATATACACACACACACACATTTGCAAATATATATATAAAATGTATGTATGTATGTATGTATGTATGTATGTATGTATGTATGTATGTATGTATGTATACATATACACATACACACACATACACATATATACACACACACACACATATATACACACACACACACACACACACATATATACACACACACACACATATATATACACACACACACACACATATATACACACACACACACATATATACACATACACACACACACATATATACACATACACACATTATATACACATACACACATTATATATATATATATATATACATACACACATACACACACACACACACACACACACACACACACACACACACACACACACACACACATATATATATATATATTTGCACATCCTTCATTTTGCAAGCCTTTCCATGCCACAAAAATACTTTTCAAACATGACAATTCCAGATATTTCTAATTTTTCCATATCAGACTACAGTATTGTAGTCAAATTCACCTGTTTACTTGAAAGGCCTCTGTTCAGCTCCTCTGTTCCCTCACTGGCTGTCTGATGATCCTTCGGGAGAGGAGGTCTGGGTGGAATAACTTCAAAGTCCTTTAAGAGACAAGAACAAAAAGATATGTAGTCTGATCTGATGAAGGTCAAACAAAAGAACTTGTATATTTTATAGTGTGGTATATTTAGGTTTACATGCAAATAAACTCTTCTACTCAGAGAGCAAAAGGTATTAGTTTGGGTTCCACTGTCCAACAAATGGCCCCACAGCTGCAGAAAATGATAGAATGACCTAGAAGACAAAAAGGTACTAGAATTTTGTACTTAAAGTATAACTAAAGGCAAAACTATTTTTTTTCAGTTTGGGATAGAGTGAAAGATTAGAAACCCTGTCAAGTTTTTATTGCTGCCTTTGTCCTCCTTTGAAAGAGTCACCCTATTTGTTCTGTTTAGTCAATGAAAGTGAGAGAAAACTCAAAATTTTAGGTTGTCACCAGAACAGGACTACAGGGAAAACACCAACTCTGGTGACACTGGTGATAACCTGTTTTGGATATGGGACAGATTTGAAGGGAAATCTCCTCAACAAGACAAAAATGGCAAAAACAAAAACTGACAAAGGGTTATAACCCTCCCTTACTGAATGTGAAAAGGAAAAGTTTGTTCTACTTTAGGCATGGTCATATTAGTCCTTCCTGAATGAGACGGAGGACCAATCAAGTTGGACTAGTGATATTTCTTAAAAAAAAAAAAACAGCGTTTAAAATTGAAATCCATGAGCGTGCTTTCTTGGGGCTGCTACATGTTAGAGGAGGAATTACTACCTGGGATGAAGAGTTTAATGCAAGTTGGGTTCTCGAAGGTGAGGTGCTCCAATACGCCATGAAATAGGGGAGGTAATACCCTCCCCTATTTCATGTAGCAGGAGTGAGGATAATAGCTAGTGTATTACAATATTCCATGCATTCAGGGATTCTTTATCTATGGGGTTTCTTTACTTGTGCTTTTCTGCACTGAGGATTGCAGCTACTATCCTACCTTTGTTTCCTAATAACTACATTTGAAACCTTTGTGAGGGCATTTGTAGGTTCTAGGGATGGTATCGCAAGAAATCCAAAGAATATCATGGGCAGGTATTCTTACAGTAAATCATGGTGCAGCAAAACTTTTTGTTCTCATTTTGGATAGCGTAGTGCAAGGGAGATTATAACTCGTTAAGATTTTTTTTTTTTTCAAGCTATCTGTGCCCTATTGTGGAGGTTTCCCTTCACGTCCTGTCCCACAGCCAAACAGGAAATGAAAGTAAATCCCTGCAATTTAAGAGAATTTCTTAGGGACCCCAGGTCACCAGAACGAGTGTCCTCAATGGATGATTTCCCCTGGGGATAAAATTTGGGATTTTGTTTTAATTTTCCTTTCAATGATAATGGTAAATAGAACAAACAGAGAGGGTGAATCTCCTTAACAGGGCACAGAAAGCAATAAAAACTGGAAAACGTTATAATCCCTCTCCACTATCAAAACTAAAAAGAAAAAAAAGTTGTGCCTTTGGTTATACTTTAAGCATGCTGCAACTATCACTTTTGTTGTTGTAATGTCTTGTTCCTAAGAAAATGACATGAAATGAAAAACAAGGACGACCCATGCGTTATCCACCGCCACAAGACACCCCTTAATTGCAGCTTCAGATGCTCTAAAAGGTGAACATTTTACTACCAGAAATGTCAATTTATCATTGGTGCTTACAAAAATATCTCCATGAAGAGTAAAGCATTCCGGCAGTTTAAACACTGAAGCAAAACTAACCCTCGGGAAAAGAAGAGGCAGTATGCTTCACTTTTACCATGAAAGCCTCAATCCTGCATTTCTTTGTACCATCACCTTTTAGGTATTACGAGAACAGGACATGCCAACATGTAAAAGTAGAAGCCACATTAAGAATAGGTCATCTTGCACCCAGTTTATGGTTTACTGGAACACTGACAAAAAAAAACACACCAACTTACACTGGGATTGTCTCTTGGACTCTGAGGATTCATTCCGGAATGATGGTGTAGGAAGCTTCTCTGATAGGTGGGCTGTGTATCACTGACTGGACTGTGCGGCACCATCACAGCTGCATTGGCAATGAAATAAATGAATGATTAAATATAAAATGTTAAATATTTCATATTTAGTATTTTCAGCCAGCAGGTGGAGTGCTGGGCTCCTTTTTACATGTTTACCAATGGAATGTAATTTCAACACGCAGCTAAATGAGTCAGATTAAATAAATAAATGCATTAAATTAAACTTAGAACTATTTATGCAAAAAGTAATCTCTAAAAAAATTTAATTGAATAGGCAGGACATAATACACATAAATGGGCAATAGATAGCAATGTGCTTGGAAAGAATCGCTTTGTCCCACTAAAGTGCTGTTACATTTTTAATGAAAAAAAAAAAAAACACCACTAAAAAAAAACAGAATGCAATAAGGAAAATAAAAAGTAACATGAAAACATTTAAAGTGGTTGTAAAAAATGAAATATGAACATATCTATAATGTGCATGTTCAATTAAGAGTACTAAGTGTCACTTCTGTCTGCTGCACGGTTATCACATGAATCACTTCTGACAAGTTTTCCTGGGTGACAGGGAGGGAGCCCCAGCTGATTGACAGCCTCAACGCTGTTACTGTGTGGTGGGAGCGGTGTCCCTTCCCTCCAATCAGCTGTCAGAGCTCTGCAGAGTGTAACTTTACCTCTTTGCCCCTTTTTTCTGAACTCTCTGACAAGCTTTACAATTCTGCACTTTGAATGGATGTAGAGAAGAAATAGCTGAATATAGGTACAACTTATATAGGAGGACTTGTTTCATCTTTGTGTATCACCTGAGGCCAGTTACTTCACTGGGTATATGTGTTTACAACCACTTTAATACACAAACAAAGCTGTCGAATGACCAGCAAGGAGAACTATGGAAGTTATAAAATAACAGTTTGTTTTTTGTGGAGACATCAACAAATTGAACAATGTTTTTTACCTGGGCGTCTTGTAGAATCAGGAATGACATGGAAGTTGGGTTTATTAAATCGAAGCCCTGAAATGGTGTCGTTGATCATCCAAAGATCCCTCTGAGCTGCTGCCTGGTCCTATAGTACAATACAAAATGAATAAAAAACCACCCCCAAAAAAAACAAACATTTGATTTGAAAGCTTTTTATACACTACCAAGGACCTTATGAATCATGTAAGATCAAAATATATTTTTTTCCTGCTTCTCTACACCCCTGTCTTTTTAGTGCTATTAGGGTACATCTGTAAGGGATATAATACGAGAGCAACAACAAGTGTATGTTCCATATAGTCACACACTTAAAACCTCTTTGGCGTGCATACAAAATTATGTGTCAAAAAGAATTTCAGACTCAACATATGTGAAATAAAGAGCTGTTTAAACCACTAAATAAGAGTGGAGCCCTCAGCTAGCAACTACAGTATCACTACAGTAAACCACTGTGCCCAGGGCAGCTGCCCCTTCCACCCACCCCTTGTCCCAGCCCTGTTTACCAAGCTATTTAATTCTATGCAAAATTGTAAGCCACTAGCTTATTAAGGTGGATGAAAAGATCCAATGTGGATGCATGAATTACATTGTAAACTATCCTATTAGCATTTACAGTGTTATCTGAGCAGGGCCTGGGTTCTGTTAGAATTCGCATATCATTCACAGTGAATGGGTGTTACTGAACTGGCCAATTTAGCATGCAATTGTAGCGTAGACGGCTAAAGTTCTGGCAGCCAGCACACCGAAAGGGAGACTAGATGAAGCTGGATGTCACCCAACCTAGATATCAGGCTATGCCCATAGGAGGATTCATGCATTTACAAAATGACTATGTGGCACACAAAAACAGAGCTGCTGCACTGTCACCAAGAGGGCGGGCATTTACCATGCATTATAAAAAGGAAAAGTGATAAAGCTGGAGTTTGATAGTTACTATGTAAAAGGTATAAAATTAATACCTGTGGATGTCCAATCTGACTGACACGTTCCAAAGTTTCTCTGACTGTATGCAGCTCGTTTTCCAATGCTCTGTATTCATCCCATGCTCTATCTCGTTCCTAAATAACACATAAGTCAAATAATTAAGCAAAGGATTAAAGAACAGACAATCACCATTAAGGCCCACATCCAAAAAGGTCAATGGTGGGCACATCAAACCCAGATGAAACAGAGGGCAGAGCTGAGAGGACTAAACCTTCAAGGGGATCATATTTGACCTACTGAAGGCAACACCTATTTCATTCCAGATTCCAAAAAGATTTCAGCACTTAAGAACTTATAGTAACATTGCAACATAAAAGATTTATTCCCAGAGACCAGGGTTAAAACATTTCCAGAAGTGTTTAGCTTCAAAGTTGAATAAGAAAGTGGATTAACTGGAGAAGAAGCACGAGTGCTGCAAAGGCAGTGTGCGAGGGTCACACGCAGTCCTTAAAACCCAAGTTTACAATGCCATCTCTAGGCTTGAAAATATGTTGCTTGTACAGAAATTTTAAGGAAATAATTAGATTTTACTGATCTCCAAGTCACAGTACGTAAGGTTTATTCAATTAACATTTATAGAACATGCACTTTACAAAGAACTAATGACATCACTACAGAGGATAGCAGACTTCAAGAAACATCAATCTAGCCAATAGTAAATTGGCTCCTTTCAACCATATTTTAGCTGATATCATAGAATTAGAATACCTTAGAAATCCCTCCAAAGTGAAGGAATCCCAAGGGGTCACTAGAACTAGTATCCCCATTGGAAGATTTCCTCTCCATTACCTTTCTGGGGACAACCCAAAATTTGGGATTTTCGTTTAATCACATTCAATGATAATGGAAAATAGGACAAATAGAGAGGGTGAATCTCCCTAATGGGGACACAAACCGTAATAAAAACATTGACTGGTGTTCTAATCCCCCTCCACTCCATCTAAAACTAAAAGGGTTTTGCCTTTAATTGTACTCTAATCATAGAGCATTTTACTGTATGTTAGAGAGGTGAACCAGAACCTTGTACTGAAGTTTGTTAGCCAATTAAAGTTTTGCTTGTGAAGACATCAGTGTGTGGCTTTTCGTCTGAATTATACCAAGCTATGTGTAGAGGTGAGACAGATTTCAAGCCAGCTCCCAATTCCAGTATATTGGGGGGTGTTTGGAGGGTACGAGCTGCACACTTTTCTTTGACCTTACAAACCATACAGCCAGCGCCTTTCTTTAGGACCATATGCAGATACAGGCAATGGGACATACTTGGGTCTTAAGAGAAAGTGATCTATGGTGTTCTGTGGAAACTTCTAAACATACCAGGGAGAGGTCGCACAGCTTGGCTCGCACATACACCAGGTCATCCTGCAGCATCCTCTGCTGGTACCAGATGTTCTCAATCACCTGTTCCTGACCTTGGAACTCTTCCAGGTGATGATGAGTTAACTGAAGAGCATCCTCCAGTTTCTCCTAAAAGAATACAAAAACATACCACTTTTTAATGATCATAATCATCATGTAGAAAGACAGATATCTTGAATTTTGGTAAAGAACAAAGTGTTCATATGGAGCCCAGACATTCAAAATGTGTAGCAAAATGTATATATCTCTACCCACTCCAGCATTTACAGTACAGTGCTCAACAGAACAGAATACACCATAAACAAATTACTAGAATGGGTAAAGGTCTTTAACCAATTCAATACCGGGCAATTTTACACCTTCCTGCCCAGGCCAGTTTTCAGTGCTCTCACATTTTGAATGACAATTGCGCGGTCATACAACATTGTACCCAAACTAAAATTTTATAATTTTCTTCACACAACTTGAGCTTTCTTTTGGTGGTATTTAATCACTGCTGGGGTTTTTATTTTTTGCTAAATTAACAAAAAAAGACCATAAATTTTGAACAAAAACCCATGTTTTTCTTTGTTTCTGTTATAAAAGTTTGCAAATAAATAATTATTCTTCATAAATTTAGGCCAAGATGTATTCTGCTACATGTCTTTGGTGAAAATAACCCAAATTAGGATGTATTTTTTAGTTTGTAGGAAAGTTATAGAGTTCACAAACTATGGTATCTGAAGATCTGAATATTGATCAATCCTGAAGTACTGACAGCCAATCTAATGTCTTGAGGTCCAAGAATGTCAGAACAGTACAGACATCCCCAAATGACCCCTTTTTGCAAAGTAGACAGTCCGACGTACTTCATAAGAGGCATGGCGAGTTTTTTTGAAGTTGTATTTTTTTTTGTCATAATTTTTCGGAAAAAGTGAAACTAATTTTTTTAATTTTTTTTTTACATATTGTCACCAGTGCAGTACAGCGTCATCATATAACTGGCATGGCGGTGATCAGGGACACTGACTGGTGACAGTATGAAAAAAAAATATTTTTTTTTTATTTTTTTTTTTCTTTTTTTTTTTAAGATTTTGTTTTCATATTTCACTATGACCAAAGTAGTGCAATGTTACCATAGTAACATTGTACTACTTTGGGGAAGTGATCAGTATAATTTTTTTTTTTTTTTTTTTTTGTGCTTAGCTGTGATTTGGCCACAGCTAATCACATGACATGTGCATGTGATTAGCTGTGACCATTCACAGCTAGACACTAGTATACAATGAATGGCATGAATGAAGCCATCCATTGTACACAACTGTCATGTGACCTGCTGTGATTGGTCACAGCAGGTCACATGGTACTGGCAACAGGGGCAGATACTCAGATCGGTCATCGGCCGTGTCCGAGGTACACGGCTGGTGACAGATTGCGTCGCTGCGACGCTCTGCAGGAGCGCAATCTGCGCATGTGGGAGGACACTAGATTGTAAGCTCGAAAGAGCAGGGCCCTCGATCCCCTCATGTTTTGCATTGTATTGGTATTGTTCTGTCACATGTTCTGTCCCTTTGTAATGTACAGCGCTGAGCGATGGCGCTTTATAATAAATACTGTAATAATAATAATAATAATAATAATATGGCGTCCACCCGGAACGCTGACGACATTTGCCGGTCGCCAGCAAATGGTTAATTGTCAATTTTTTACATGTAATGTTTCATATAAATTGATCGTCTAAACGGGATTACACATGAATTCCTGATGTGTAACCAATTAAATCAAAGTGAATTGGTGAATAAAGATGACGTCATCAGTCTACTGCAGGCCAAAAGAAGCATTTACTTAGGGTCAGTTCACACCATAAAAATGTCCTCCAGATCTGTTCTGAAAGCGTTTTTGGTGCGTTTCCCAATGCATTCCAGATGCTTTTGCTCCTCTTTTTGATCATTTGAAAGGCATGATCTTTATTTTCATCAAGACAATGCTTTCAGGTCACTTTTCCTTTCAGATCACTTCTGGTTTGTCCCTTGGAAGTGTTGTCTGCTGCCGTGTAGAGAAGATGTCTGTACTGGCAGGCTTACTCACGTTTATGGCAATTGCACTGCTGATTCTGCATGCCTGCAAAAAAAGGGGTTATTGGGTACATCCCCTGTTGATGGAGAGTGAAAGCAAGGGACAATTTAGGACACTGTATGTAGACCTTGTTCAACATCCGGATAAGTTTTTTTTTTTTTTTTAAACTTTACACAGATGTCAATTGAAAGGATGATCATAAACCATCAAAATAGGACCATCCGTATCCATATACAGCCTTCTATACTCCATCTTTTCCAGACATGCTTGTGACCAGAAGAGGATCATGAGAGTAGTTAAAATTCATTTTTCTTAACCCTTTTCTTATTTTTTTTTTCTTTGATGTGTTCAAGTACAGTTCTGTGCAGGAAAAAAAAAAGCAGCATGTTGCACTTTTATCCTGGAACTGAAATGCACTGGAACTGACTGCACTGGTGTGAACTATGCCATTGGAACCCATGTAACATACTTTTCATGCGTTTTTGATGTAAAAAAAAAAAAAAAAAAAAAAAAACACAAAAAACTGACAGTCTGGGTTCACACTGATGTGGTGCGGAATTCGCACCCGTTTCTATGCGAATTTCACACCGCATCAAAATCGTACCTTGTTCATGCGAACTGCTGTGGGTGTGTGAATGTTAACAACACCCCAAAATCGGTTCGCAAAACGCAGTGCAATGTGCAGAATCGGATCGCATAGGTGTGAATGCCCATGCGATCCAATTCTAGTGCGGACAAAAAAAAAAAGGGTCCTGCACCTTTTTTGGTGCAATTGCGGTGCGATTTGAGCCACACAAAATGTATGGCTCAAATTGCAACGCACAGAATTCGCATGTGATTTGCACAGGACTGCGGTACGGTTCCTGTGCGAATCACATGCTATGTTCCACACCGCAGAAGTGTGAACCTCAGGCTTAGTCTTCTTTCCAGTGACTAGAAGTGCAACTTTCTAATAACTTAGAAGGGGAATGGTCACTGCCACTGCAGGGTTGGATAGGTGTCCGATATTTGTGATATCTAGAAGTGGCTATTGATCTAACATGAGTACTGTTTGACTTGACTTACTTATGTGGGATCATATAATCTATTTACAAGTACAATCTCATCACCTACTAGACTGAAGACCACTGCATACAAAATGGCCACCTGTTCAAAGGCTCTACATCTCACAATTAGAAACTGGTCCCATTAAAACAGCCCTGATGAAGGGGGATCCATAAACACATTAACTACTTCCTATCTACTGGCTGTGATTTTGATATGAAGAATAAAATTATATTTTAATTGATCATCTGGCAATTGGTTCATTCCAATAAAAGAGAAAAAAACACAAAAACAAACAAAAACCCTACAAAACTCACAGAAACACCTGTAGTCATTTTAAACATTCATTTAAAGACCGCCCATAGCTGATGTACTGCTACTGGGTGGCCTTGGTGTGCAAAATCACGCATATAATGTGACTTTGCATTTCTAGGTAGGGGGTGCGCACATACGTACTGCCCTGCCCGCATGGTCATTGGCTCTCAGAGATGTCAATCACCAGGTCCTGGCCAGTGATTCATGGCCGGGACTCGGTGATTGGCAGAGAAGCTGACAGGGAAGAGATCTGTGTGTAAGCTCAGATTTGTCTCCTGTCAGCGGGGACGTGCTGCTTTCTTTCTCTCTGCTTTGCACGTCCCCTAGTAAAACAGCACACAGTAATCTCAGCACAGAACACTGTTAACCCTTTGATCACACAAGATGTTAACCCCTTACTGTCAAGTGTCATTAGTACAGTGATCAGTGCTTTTTATCAGTGGCAGTTCGTCAGTTCCCACCCAGTGTCACGCAGTCCCGCAAGTCACCGAGTGCCTCCATTACCAGTATAAAAAAAAAATAAAAAATTCCAGTACATACACCGCCATTTGTAGATGTTATAAAACTTTCACGTAAACCAAATTATACACTTATTGAGAATTTTTTTTTTACCAAAAAAACCATGAAGCAGAAAACACTTTGCCCTACATTTCTGAAGAAATGTATTAATTTTTTCATACTGGATACGTTCTATAAAGAAGTCAAAAATATTGTTTTTTTTTTCCCAAATTGTCGGTCTTTTTGATTTATAGCACAAATATTGAATAAAAAGGTAAAGGGAAATACCACCAAAAGAGATCTCTATTTTTTGGGGGGGAAAAAAAATGACAAAATTTCATTTATGTACAGCGTTGCATAACCATGCAATTATCAGTTAAAGTAACAAAGTGCAGTATTGCAAAAAATAGCCTGGTCATGAAGAGGGGATAAAAATCTCCCAGAGGGCAAGCGAGTATACATTGTTGCCATTTTAGACACGTGTAGACAAGTCATACACTGACGTATATTTTCAGACAACCAGATGAATAAATCTCCTATTCCAAAGTAATTTATGTTAGGTGGCAGTGTTTAGATGATTATTTTTTATTTCTTTTTCCAATGAGAGACATCAAAGAAACAGACTTGGAGATTAGAGTTTTACCTTTTCAGCTTTAAAGTGAGCAGACTCATCTTCAATGCTGATAAGAAGTTTATCTTGGCCACACATCTTGGTCAGAAGAACCTGTAACAAAAAAGTGTAAAACATTATGATGTGAAAAAAAATGTGCACAAGATTGTCTCTTCCACATAATTAAAAAAGGGGAGTACCTAATAGGTATGAATGCAGCCTAGGGTATGAGTGGTGCCAGACGTCATCTCCATTGAGGCATAGCCAATTCCAATAATTCCCTGCACACTGATCTGTCTAAATTGGCTCTAGTATGTATACAGTGGATATAAAAAGTCTACACACCCCTGTTAAAATGTCAGGTTTCTGTGATGTAAAAATAAATTAGACAAAGATAAATTATGTCAGAACTTTTTCCACCATTAATGTGACCTACAAACTGTAACTTGATGGGGGGCAGTAAGAAAACATAAAAAACTAAAATAATGTAATTGCATAAGTGTGCACACCCTCTTATAATTGGGGATGTAGCCGTTTTCAGAAATTAAGCAATCACATTCAGAATCATGTTAAATAGGAGTCAGTACACACCTGCATCATTTAAAGTGCCTCTGTTTAACCCCAAATACAGTTCAGCTGTTCTGGTAGGTCTTTCCTGACATTTTCTTAGTCGCAGTTCGTGCATCCTACAGCAAGAGCCAAAGAGAGCTTCCAAAACATCAGAGGGATCTCATTGTTAAAAGGTATAATTCCAGAGAAGGGTACAACAGAATTTCCAAGGCATTAGATATACCATGGAACACAGTGAAGACAGTCATCATCAAGTGGAGAAAATATGGCGCAACAGTGACATTACCTGTAACTGTTAGTCTCTCTAAAATTGATGAAAAGAGGAGTTGAAAACTGGTCTGGGAGGCTATCAAGAGGCCTACAGCAACATTAAAGGAGCTGCAGGAATATCTGGCAAGTACTGGCTGTGTGGTACATGTGACAACAATCTCCCCTATCCTTCATATGTCTGGGATATGCAGTAGAGTGGCAAGATGGAAGCCTTTACTTACGAAGAAAAACATCCAAGCCTGGCGAAATTTTGCAAAAAACACATCTGAAGTCTCACAAAAGCATGAGGGAAAATGTGTTATGGTCTGATGAAACCAAGGTTGAAGTTTTTGGCCATAATTCCAAAATATGTTTGGGGCAAAAACAAACACATCACCAAAAGAACACCATACCCACAGTGAAGCATGGTGGTGGCAGCATCATGTTTTGGGGCATTCTTTCTTCAGCTGGAATTGGGGCCTTAGTCAAGGTAGAGGGAATTCTGAACAGTTCCAAATACCAGTCGGTCAATATTGGCACAAAACCTTCAGGCTTCTGCTAGAAAGCTGAACATGAAGAGGAACTTCATCTTTCAGCATGACAACGACCCAAAGCATACATTCAAATCAACAAAGGAATGGCTTCACCAGAAGAAGATTAAAGTTTTGGAATGGCCCAGGAAGAGCCCAGACCTGAATCCGATCAAAAATCTGTGCGGTGATCTGAAGAGGGCTGCGCACAGGAGATGCCCTTGCAATCTGACAGATTTGGAGTGTTTTTTTGCAAGGAAGAAGAGCGGGCAAATACTGCCACGTCAAGATGTGTGCCATGCTGATAGACCCATACCCAAAAAGACTGAGTACTGTAATAAAATGAAAAGGTGCTTCAACAAAGTATTAGTTTAAGGGTGTGCATACTTATGCAACCATATTATTTTTTTTTTTTAATTTTACTCCCCCCCTCCCGCCCCTAAAAGATTTCAGTTTGTTGTTCAACTGAGTTGTACAGTTTATAGGTTACATTAAAAAGGAGGAAAAAGTTCTGAAATTATTTATCTTTGTCTCCATTTTTTATATCACAGAAACCTGACATTTTAACAGGGGTGTGTAGACTTTTTATATCCACTGTATGTATGCATGTGAGACAAGGACCATAGATTGTAAGCTCCTGCTGAGGGCAGGGACTGATGTTAATGTACAGTATGTAAAGCACTGCACAAATTGTTGGCACCATGTAAAAAAAAAATATATATTTTTTTTTTTGGGGGATATTGCATCATTGTGATTTCTAAGCTCTACACTGACATAACTTTGATAAAGAGCCTTTACTTGTATTTTAAAACACATCTGAATAATCTAGAACTGTGGCTCTGCTTCACTGCACACACTACTCTCAGGAAAAACTAATACATAACGGGAACTCATTAAAAATATGTTCTTCTATTCCTTTAATTAAATCCTTTCAACTACTTCCTTTTTTGAGAACATGCATGAAAATAACATTTTGACTTTTAAAGTTATTTTTAAAGACAATCCTCATATATAAAACTTTGAGATTATTAATTTCTCGATCGATCACCACACTTGCAGTCCTCTGATACATCCTCTAGCTCTTTAACTGAAAGTCTGTCAAGATCTGTCTGTACCGAGGTAGAGAGTCTGCAGGACCCTGGCATTGAACCCACAATCCACTTATCACAGATGCAATGCTTTGCAGGCTCATTTGGTAAAATGCATTACTTTTTTTTTTTTTGCAAAAGGTGGACTTGGCCTTTAATCACCATTTCTGGTACAAAGCCATACCCATTATTCTTGCTATAGGTGATTGACTGTCAGTATATGAAGCATGTTAGCGAGCCTTACTAGCCACGGTGTATCTGCATGCTCCAGTTCAAGCCCTTATGGTATTTTTAAGAAAACTAGCCCTAATAGAAATCTTAAAGCAGAAATCCGGAAAAAATGTTTTTTTTTGCCCGTGCAGTGGGGCTGTGCTGGCACTGCATGAGTTAAATTCTGGTTTTGTTCTAGGGGAGAGAACTCCAAAAGATATAATCGCGTGACCCGCCAGTCTTGTAAATGGACTGTTCCTGACATCTGCACACTCAATGCGCGCTCCACACAGGCAGGAACAGTCCACCGCTGGACCGTGGTTTTCTGTAGGATCGGTAGGTCAGGCGAGTATGAGCTTAGTCCTCACCCCTAGAAAAGACAGCAGCTGATCCATGCAGTGGGGTCACAGCCCCACTGCATGGCAAAAAAAAAAAAAAAATTAACTGGAGTTCTGCTTTAAGTAGCAGACTCATCTTTGTAAGAAATTCAAGCCATCAGTCATGCTGATCCATGGGCTTCAGTAGAGAGAATTTCTCACCCAAAGAAGGTGCGTAGATCAGTGCTGACATCCCTCTAACCCAACTTGCTGTATTCCTGTAAGGGACTCGATGCCAGAGAGCCAGGCGAGCAGCATTTTCAAAAAGATCAGTAATGACTACATCAATATTTGTCTCAATATTGGATTCCCCAAAGATAACACTTAGAGAATCACTTCTAAATACAGGTGGGCATGTTCAATGGAAGCAGATGGGCTCAGGTCTGTGTGAGTGTCACTGTCCAAAGACAAAAAGTTCAGTTTATCACAAAAGAAACTCAAACAGTAAAGCACACACTTACATCAATGTTATTTTCAGGAACACGTCCTGGATAAGGACCTCTGTTCTGATACTGGGCTGGTCCTGAAGGCTAAGAAATGTAAACACAGATGATTTAAGTATATATAAGCAAGTATCCATGTAAGTATTGTGTAATACGTTTTAGAGGAAAGTCACTGCAGTTGGTCCTAAACATTCATCTCAGAAGTTAGTGGAAGACCAGGTAGCCCTATACCCACAGCAAACAAAATTGTAACCGTCAGACCGAGCAAATGTGCATATGCGCAGATATTGGACCATGGCAGTACAGGCATGCCATGCACAGGCACAGAGTCCTGTAGCTCCCATCCAGAAGGCACAGATGCAATCTGATTGAGCTAGGATTGATCTTTTCCTTGCCTAGCCTGATCAGAAGGAAACAGGGTGAATGAGACTGGCAGCATCACCATTGTGATTTTCAGTACTTTTCAAAAAATAAAAATAAAGGCTCACCTCCTGCATAGTTGGGGCAAAACATAAAAACCCAACTATGTAATCTAAGATTCACATACACTTTAAGTGTTTTCTCATGCTATGGTCACAAAGCTAGCTGCCTTAAATATTTGCACACATAACATTAAGCGTATTTAAAACCAAAATCAAAAGTGTCATTTACTTCAGCTGGTCACTTCATCGATGTTGTCGCTGCATCAGGTTTATATTTTAAAGAATAATGCCCTTTATCACCTGGTAATCCTGTAATGGACACGTGTCCTGTCCGTGGGTGTCTTAATTCCTCCACTGTATGAAGGCCAGGTATAGTATTACCAAGGTTAGATTGTAAATACATCTGCTATTGTTCATCTCCATTACATTTGGGAGCGAGGGGGGTGTGTGGGGGGGTATTGATGGCATTAATAGTTCAAAGAACAAAGATAACATGGTTATAATTTCCAGGTCATCTCACAGAATTGATAAAATAGAGGAATCCATGCCATTCTGTCTATATCAAAAGATTTTCTGTACTTTGTGAAAATGTTTTTAGTTTGAAAAATCGAAACAAATGCAGCCAGCACATCTAGGACTGGTAAACTGCAATATATAACATTAAAATTCTGGCCTGCATATACATCAATTCAGAATAGATTAGGAGAAGGCAGCAACATTAATATACTAAGCTACAACAAAAAGCACTAAGAATGGCACCTTTCTCACCCTACTTGCTGAACTGTACCAAATAATCTTTAGGTCTTATACACACACAGGGCATTTTTGTAGCCACTTTTGGGGGCATCAGGCATTTTTTTTTACCGCTTCCAAATGGTCCTCTATGTTATACTATGTGGCTATGCACACAGACATTTAGAAGCTTTTTAGTAGTAGTAGCATTTATCCGCAGGAAAAAAAAAATCCAGGGCCAATGTGTCCAGGAGCAGCAACGTTTTGGCAGAAAGAATGCTTGATGCGGCTTGTGTGCATGAGGCCTAAAAGAATGCAGCCATCCCTGGTAACCCTCCCTTGATAACACCTCAACTGCAAGATTAACAATTATGAAGCTATACAGAAGATTCCATAAACCGTAGTAGTGATCAGAATGAGATTGTTGACATTTGTCAAAATAGCCAAACTCCCACTTAAAGTGGAGCTCCACGCAAAAGGGGATGTTCTGCTTTAAGTCTTTGTCCCCCGCTCCCCATTAAGAATTGGCACCTTTGGGGAGCAGACGGGGATCAGGTACCCAAATCTCCTAGAAATGGTACTCCTGATAGCAGCGTTTTTTGCAGAAAAAACATGCTTGTAAAAGTATCTAATGCCTTTACAAGCGGCAAACGCTTGGGCGTTAATTCATTTCATTGGCCAGAATAATTTATTCTGGCCATTGAAATTAACACTCCAGCGCTAAACGTGCCTAGCACTTAGCCGCATCAGGTGTTTTTTCTTCCAAAAACGCTGCTGCTCTTGAATGCACTAGTCCTGGGTTTATTTTTCCTGCTGGTAAATGCTACCGCTACTAAAAGTCTATGTGTGCATGGACACATAGGATAACAAAGGACCGTTTGGAAGCAGTAAAAAAAAAAAAAAAAAAAAAACCACGCCTAACGCCCCTAAAAGTGGCTGCAAAAACACCCTGTGTGCATGAATCACGTATGTTACTATATCAAGCTCAGAATGTAATTCTTTTACATATATGACTCACCACAGCACTCAATGACATCCTCTTTCCTGCAGGCAAATGTGGACGGGTGGAAACTGGGAGGCAGAGGAGGCAACTGGGAGTAATTTGCTGAAGCCTGCATGAAAAAAAGAGTTTTCAGGTACTTGAGAGGAAATACAATCAGGTGGCGCAAAATAAGTACATCTCGTGGTGCATATATTTAAAATTGAAACTAAAAAGGAAAAATCTAAGATCTAGATAGAGCAGTCAGGGGTTAGAACAACTGCTGGGTGCTTACTGCAGTCTGTGTCACTGGTAAGAAATGCTAAATTTTAGGTTGCCAGCAGAAGAATAGAGGGGGAATCTTCTGAGGACACTTGTTCCTTTGACAACTGTGGGAGTTGTTTTAACTACTCTGTATTCCATCCAACACGTATGAAACTGATATTAAAGGCAATGAAAAAAAAAAACAAACATGTTATACTTACCTGCTCTGTGCAATGGTTTTGTACAGTGCAGCCCTGATCCTCCTCTCCTCTGGTCCCCCACCAGTGCTCCTGGCCCCTCCCTTCTGCCTGGTGGACCCAGAGCAAGCAGCTTGCTCCTGAGCCACTGCTCTGTGTGTCCATTTACACACACAGCTGCGGCTCGGCACCTCCCCCCTCTCTCTCATTTGCTGTGATTGACAGAAGCAGGAGCTAATGGCTCCCACTGCTGTCTCAGCGAATGAGGGAAAGTTCCCGGAGAGCCTAGGCTCTTGTTCACACTGCTGGAATGCGATGGGGCTCAGGTAAGTATTAGGAGAGACTAGGTGGGCTGCTGAACACAGGAGGTTTTTTTCAGTTTCATGCACAGAATGCATGAAGGTAAAAAAAACCTTGAGCCTTTAAAACCACTAAGTATATCTAAAGCCAAAACTAGATTTGATTAGCTGGACAAAGGGTTTAAATCTTTGTAAGGTTTTTGGAAGTGTTCTGCCCAGTCCAAAGCAGTTTATAATAAATATTACATTTTGTTAAAGTAACAAGTTTTAGGCATTCAAAGGGCTCCCTTCATCGGGGCTATAAAAAGACAACGTATAAGATGTGGCTTAGCAGCACTGGGGTCCTTAGTCTGAATCCCAACTAGGACAGTGTGTGCACAGTGTCCCTGTGCTTGCATGGGTTTCCTCCCACACTCCAAAAGACATGTTCGTTGGTTAGTTAGTTGGGTTCTTTCCAACTGGTCTCAGTATGTATATGAGATAGGACTCCTTAGACTGTACGCTCCTTGAGGATAGGGACTGGTGGAAATGTATTAGTATATGGAAAGTACTGTGTAAATTTCTGGCACGATTTATAATAGATTTTTTAATCTGTCCATCCATATCTATCTATCTATCTACACACACACACAAATACTTATTGTACTGAATAGATGGTAAAACATGATTAAACTAATAAAACAGAAATTCTTCTTAAAATATTCACATAAAAAGTTAATTGTTTTATAATCAAAAGAAAATCTAGTACAAAATTATGCCATGAACACCTATAATTATGTGGATATAGTTCGAACCATACTTGGCATGTTAGAGCAAGTACTGATGAAGAAGTAGCAGTAACAAGGTAATGAGGATTTTTTTTTTTTTTTTTTAAAAGATTTCTTATTTATTTTGTTAGGACCCAACTGAATTTTCAGTTTCAATTCGCTAAATACGTACCAGGTTCTTTTAAACAAACATTCAGAGTCTTAAGACTCATTTACATTTCAGTAAAACCTGCGTTTCTAATGTCTCAATGGCTCGCTCACACTATCTGTGATGACCTGTGTTTTTCCATAGTGGATAAACTCAGGTCACCATTGAGGCTCAATAATAGAAAACAGTTTTCTATCTGCCCTGCTCACATCACAACACTGGTGTGATGTGCTGTGGGGAAACATGCAGTTGGTCGCATGTATTCTGCAATTTTATGCAGTGCACTGGATGACCCTGGCTGTCACTGCTCAACGGCACAATGCGATAAGAAAAAAAAAGAAAACACCAGGCTGAAACGCTCATTGCACAGCTGCCTGCCAAAGTCGGTATGGACACTAGCCCACACAGTAAAGCGCTGCATTGTAATGTGCACGCTAGTTTGCAACTAAGTCTCACAGCGCATTTCAAATGTATAGAATTATGATTTTTCAATAGTATCATTTAGTCTGTACGTTTAAGCTGGGTTTAGGCCAATCAGCATAGCTGCACCTGATTAGAAATGTGGCTAAACCTTTTTTAAAGCAAGCTTCTGAAGGCAGAAAAGAGAAATATGGGAAGCATAAAGTAGTTTGTACTTCCCAGATAACTTCTCCTGTGTTTAGAAAAGCTAAAATGCAGGAATGCCAGCGTGAATGAAGACTTAGGGCTCATTTAGACTTGGGGGCAGTAAACACATGAGGTGGAGCTGCATTTTCAACTGCTGCCACTTGAGCTGCAAAAATTATACCCCCTCCTCTGTCACGTTCGGCAGGCAGCACCACAGCCAAACGCGCCCTATTCAACTGAATGAGGATGTACAGCATGCAGCTGCAACACAGTGGCATTAACTGGGTTAAAACAGACGGTGAGGAGTCGTATAACCTACTCACCGCCTGTCATACCCCTCTGGAAAGCGATTCGAATGTTCAGAGGTGTGGCATTGTTGCTGCACGTCTAAACCTAGTGGTGCAATCGGTTTTCTTTTTAAAACCACTCTTAACATACAGGATTTATATAGCGCCAACCGTTTGCACATCACTTTACAATCTAAAAAGGGAGACAGTACAGTTACAAAATGAAAAAATACAAGAGGGTTAAGCGGGCCCTGCTCATAAGAGCCTAAAATCTAATAGGGTGGGGCAAGTGATACAAAAGGTAATACCTGTGGGGGATGAGCTGATGGAAGAGTTAAAAGTTCAGTTCCTAGTTGAAGGCATGATAGGCTTTCCCCGAAGAGATGAGTTTTCAGGGATTGCCTAAAAGCAGCCAGAGCAGGAGATAGCTGGACAGATTAAGGTAGAGAGTTCCAGAGGATAGGAGAGCCTCTGCAGAAGGCCAGGAGATTAGCATGGGAGGAGGAGACAAGGGAACTAGACAGCAGGAGGCCTTGGGAGCAGTGCAGAACTACAACCTGAATAGAAAGGTCCGACCATTGTGAACATGCTACATAATGGGGACTCTTGCCAACCTTTTGCAGTCTGCAGTTGCTGGCAAGGAATAGGATTGTCTATTCAGGCCGTAGCATGCAAAAATTCAAACACCTGCAAACAGTAGAGAAAAGGATCCTGTGTCAATATTCTGCCATTCAAAAATACAAGTGGACTGTTACGAATACTTTTATGTTGTGCTTAATTAAATATCAGTGTTAAACCACTAAATAATTAGGTAGATAATTCAATAATTAGGTAGATATTTCTCTATTTTAGAAAAACGTATCCACAGATGAAATAAGTATACGGTATAACATCTCCTCTTTGTTATCTAGCTCACAAACACAGGATACAAAGTTCGCCAAGAATGAAGGAACTGACCAGAGCACTGCTCATCTGGAACTCAGACACACGGCCTGGCCAGCACCCCAAGGAAACACAAGACTAGACATGGCGCTAGCCAATTGCAGAAGTAAAATAAAGCCTTGTGTTCTGTGGATGGCTATCAGCGTTTCAGTAATAATGCACTCAGGGAAATATTATTTTACACTGCTCAGATACACAAACCGCTCATTCACACAGTTCATGAGCTCATGATATAGTCTACTCACCATATTTGACAGGTGCCTCGGTGTGTAGCCAAGACTCCGGCCAGAAAAAGCTGCCGGAGGGTGCAATGACCGCTCAGAAAACTGTTGGCAGAAAGAAATGGAAAAATTAGAAAAACAGGAAGAGAGTTTTGTTCAGAATCTTAACATTACAGTACATTCTGTAGAACTACCACAGGAAACAAAAGATGTTCGTATGAGGTGATCTGTATATATAGATGTGCTTTACCCTTACGGAGAGCAATGGGTTTTGGAAGTATTGCTTATTAGCTTTGGCAAAACACATTGATGCAATGAGGTACTGCCAAAAACAAAATTCCAATTGACAACACCCATGTAAAAACTGCTGATGGATGACAAAATTAACTATATTTGTGGAAATAAGCACAAAAGGTAAGCCCCCAAAAACCATTTTTTATGTCAAAGAACAACAGAAGTTATACTAGAAGTAAAATATATAAAAAAAACAGAGAAGCCTGTGCTCACCGAGGAGACACATCGGCGTTTGGGGTCTATTGATTTTCTGCAGGAGACCCAGTGGAGTTTTCTGCGAACAGCTGTGGGTGGGAAGCCTCATACAAAGCAATGAAAAGGGCGCTTGCCCCTGCAGCTGTTCACGTTATCGAACATGCAGCATATACCTGTGAATGACTGGCCCTGAACGCAGACCTTTTGAGTCCAGGGGCCAAACATCCACAGGTTATGCTGCAAACCCCACTGAGTCTCCTGCAGAAAACTGCAGTCTTCCCCAAAAGGAAAGTGTGAATGAGGCCTTGCTGTATGTGAACACTACACAGGCTACTCGGTTAGAATAAATTCTGGAAACTTTGAGTGTGCAAAATGCAGATTTTCAGTGAGAACTTCAGACAAATGCATATGTGCTATGTCAAAAGTTACCGGTCTTAAGAGTTTGATTTTTAGATGGACTACTCAAAATGCAAGAAACAAAAAAAAAAAAAAAAGTCATTCTAACTCTGCAATTACATCAAACATACCAGTGAAAAACACTTTGCAGTGTCATAGGTAGACACAATTAAACAAAGCAGCTTTGAGCATGAGAGGGAAGCAGCATCCAGCAGAGTCATGCAACAAAAGGACATTCATCTGCCCTGTTAGAAGGTAAAGGTAAACAGTCTGGGCTATAAGACTACAGCCAAGATTCCTGGACAGCATTACCAGTTTAATAGCCCAGAGATACGCTCAAAAGTACATTATAATGCAAAGCAAATTGCAAAGCTGCAGCTCAACTATACCCTTGGTCCTTGGCTCCGATGTCTTCTCATTGATGGGGTTAAAGATAGTTCAGGAGAATATTCTTCCACAATTACTCGTTCTGATGGAGTGTTTGGTCTTATTTGTATTCTGCTGTTAGGATAGCCATGGGTTCTTGAAGGTAAACTCATTCCTCCGCCATCTACCATCCTTTCATCTTCTGCTCCCAAAGGCTGAGATCTCCTGGTATATCGATTTAGTCCCTTTGCCAAAGTTGAAGCTGCAAAAGTTTCATCAGAAGGCAAGACATCATACCTGTCTGATGGAGTTTGAGGTCTGGATGCAGATTTAACAATGTGACTTCTGGTCCTGGAGCTGGTCACATAGTACTCCCCAGTTCTTTCGTCATTATGTCTGACAAGTGCAGAATTGGGAACCCTGTCTTCTGAAGGAAGGATGTCCACACGTCCAATGGGTGTGTTGGATCTAACAGTGATCCTACCCAAGGAAGGAGATCCAGTCACAGCCACAAATACATCCTCATTGGATGCAGCTCTGTGCTTGGGAGACTGGATTTTGGGGCTGAGACTTGGGGTCAAGGGGGTCTCTTTTCTGGTAGGACTACTTAATTTGGGGGGCAGCATTTGGGTGGGAATTGTCCAGGTAGTGGACAGGACTTGCATACTTCAAGTTAGGAGGTGGACTTCTCTTTACAATACGGTGTCTTGTAACCTCTGATGAAACAGGTGGAAGAGATTGTGATCTTGAGGCCTTGAGAAATCTTTGAGCCATGTACTCAATTTTTTCTGCCGAAGGACATGCTGTGATTGATGGAGAGGAAGGATTTATGGCCATACTCCTTACATCCCGAGTTTTTCCACACTCTCATTCTGTTGTATGAACTTTTCATCTCTTGAATTCCAATTTCTATCCACAACTTCAGAGTTGTATATATGAGTAGGCAGCATGGCAGGAGAGGAAGGGGCAGAGCACGAGACAACAGAGGAATATTCGTCATGTGGACATTCAAATCCATTAGGATGAGATCTAGGAGGACTCCTAGCTTGATAAAGTCTGCAGAAATACACAATGAAAACCATGTAAACTCACACCTTCATAACAGAGAATTTAGGCAATGCTAGACACACAAATTGATATTCACCAAAGTTAAAATATATCTAAAGCCATTTTTTTTTAGTTTTGATAGAGTAATAATATATTAAAACCTCCAAACTTTTAATTCTGCCTGTATCTGTTGGGACAACTCACTCTCTCCATTTGTCCAGATGACCAGTGTTTGTGAGGGAAAATCAAAGTTTTTGAGTCGTCACCAGAATTGAAAATCATACAATAGGGACATTTTTTCCAGAGAAAACTGGATATTTCCCTCATATTGTAGAGATCTTAACTGAAACCTGACAGGTGTTTTAAAAACTTTCCCTACTCTATCCAAAAAATTAGGAAAAATTGATTTTGCTTCAGGTTTAACATTTAATATGTCTTTTCATAGCAGACACTGGGGCAGATGTGACTAGAAAAAGTTCACTTTGTTAAATTAAATAAAAGCATCTTTTTGGCAGGTAAAAAGTGTGCATTTTTTTTTTCTTGGGAGCCTGTAAAGCATTGCACCCACAATTATCAGATCGTGGGAGCAATGGCAGGCTCGCGCAGACTGCCAGTACACTGTCTGTACCTCCAATATGGGCAAGCAGTTAATGGACTAAGAGCGCTAGCGCCTTTTGCAGTTCATAACTACCAGCAAAGGCTGACAGTACTTGTAGGCATTAATTCACAGGAAACTCTGAATGAATAACGCAGATGTGTAGCCCGAGCCCAGAGCAGCTGCATTCATTTCAAATTGTGACAGCAGGTGTGGGGAACAGAACCCCACCCACTGTCACAGGGAGGGGGGAGAGGCTGCAGCTGCTGGAACATGTTACATGTTCCGCCCAAAAAACAGGTGGAATATGTAACATATTCCAAAAGATGAACTCATCCTTTAAAGCATCCTTTGTTTTACATGCCTTAGTTTTTTGCCCTTTGGCCAAAGGTTGAGTTACGGGGGCCAGAGATCACTGCTATGGGGAAAGGGGGGGCAGAGGACATTAGGGGGTGGGGAGTGATCTTGCAGAGGATACTGCTACACCTCCATACCACCCTTCATATCCCCCCACAAAGTAGTATCCTCTGCCCCCCTTTCCCCCAAAGAAGTGACCTCTAGCGCCCCCCCCCCCCCTTCCCTCTCATGGACAGGTATTTTTAAGATCAGAATTCCCAGTAAGTGGCTGGGGGTTGGGAGTTCCCTGCCCCCCCCCCCACCCTGGTGCCCTATGGCACCTGCCTAAGTAGCCTTATGCTGGCACTCAGAATATGACTGCTTAGGCAGCAGACTTAGGGCACCAAGGTAGCTGGGAGGCAGAAAAATCCCAGTCCAGTCACTTGCTGGAAGTTCAGATTTTTAAAATACCTGCATTCCGATCAACCCCTTTATTGTCCTCCTGGAACAGCTGAAAACTAGTATCTCCTCCTCGCCCTCCCACCAGCATATAGCAGCTGCAGGAGGAAAATCCAGAGGACTGGTTCTAGTAAACACCTCCCCCGCGCTGCTCCTCTCGTCCTTGTTCCTCCATTTTTTTGCTACCTGTCCCTTCCCCCAAGTGCTCCTCTTTCAACAGGGCTCCTAAAAAAATTCTGAAAAATATAAAAATAAAAAAACTACTGACATCATCCACTGCCCTACTGACACCAAACGTTGCCCTACTGACATCATCCACTGCCCTACTGACACTGTCCACCGCCCTGACTGACACTGTCCTGCTGACACCATCCACTGCCCTACTGATTGACACTGTCCATTTTTAAGGTAGGCCAAGTTTGTATTTTTTGACATCTGTTTTATTATATTTATCTACATTTTCCTTGCTAGTTAATTTTTTTTAAATGGTGCTGAACCCCGGTGATCTTTGATCTCTTTCATGTTGTACAGGTCGATCTCCACCACTCAAAGCTTGCCTACCCCTGACCTAAGGGTTGACAAAATCCATGCCAACTGGAATATTGACATAACATTTCCTAATGTACCACGTGTATGTGTGTATTTCTAATATGCATTCCTGAAATTATGCCCACACTAGACAAAACAACAAATATGCTAGTCACAGAATGCCACCTAACCCTGCCCTTTATCCATATTCATTCCACCCATTCCCCATGTTGTAATGGGCTCGGATAAGACATTGTGCCTTTATATACATGTGTGGGAAGTGCATTCCTGCTAACAAAAGATGCACTGTGACTTTAGTAATGCACTTCATAACTGTCCACGCAAGAGTTAAAGTATTTTCTTACTCTGCTGAAGGTTGCTCCTTATGAAAAGGCACCCACTCTTCATCTTCTGGTATAGAGTCCTTCCCCTCCAGAGACATCTTGCTTTCCACGTCTTGTTTGCTATAAGTGAATTCTAGATTCTTCAGCATACTCTCTGGTGTTGGTGGCGGTACCGACCCATTCTGAGACACAGATGTGTAATGTTGTATGGCATCTGTTAAGGACTCTCTTAGTCCGCTGAACAAGCGGTCCTTCTCCAAGTCTCCGTTTCTGTCCTGTTCAGGCAGGCTGTCCCTGGAGCTCTCATCCTGTGATCTGGTCTCAGACAGGTGAGCAATCTCCAGAGATTCAGCACTTTTTCCATCATCGCCCACAGTGTTGATTTCGCTATGGGAAAAATCTTCATAACTGGCATAGAGTTCATCCTGTGGATTCAGGATGTGACCATGGCTGTTTCTATAAGACAGAAATGCAAAGTAATTTACATTGGACATCAATGACTAGCAGGTCTACAAAACCTAGAGTCAGAACCTGGCTGCTCCCACATACTTGAGATTTGCAGGTAAAGTGATCAATCCAATAACTGTTCAGGGCAGGGGTTAATACATGCAATTATAAGATCTTAGGCCATGCACAGAAATTTGCAACATTTTGGAAAATTTATGGGATTGATTTACTAACGGCAAATAGACTGTGCACAGTGCAAAGTGCAGTTGCTTCAGAGCTTAGTAAAACGGGGTAAAGCTCGACTTTGCAAAGAATACCCAAACACGTGCATTAAAATTGAAAATAAATAAATGTTTGCTTGCACATGTTTGGATGAGGGGAGTCAGCAGAGCTTCTGGTCACTTACTAAGCTCTGGAGCAAATGAACTTGCAGAGCACAACTACACTTTGGAACGTGCAGTCTATTTGCCTAGTAAATCATGAGTTGTTGGGGACTGTTCCTTTTCCTGCCTAGAAGAGGAACTTTTTTCACTGCAAATGAACTGGAATGTACAAACTGGTAACCAAAATTGAGTATCAGAAAGTCATCCATGTTGAGGTGGATCTCTCATCTCTCTGCATTAATAGAGATCTCCCTTTTTATGCCCAGCTTGAAAAACAGCCAATATAGATGTATTTCAACTTCTTCGGTAGGAGTTAAGAAAAAGAAAGTGGAGGTATTGCCTGTAAGAACTATATAATTTCCCCAATTCAGAATTTTCAACATCATATTTCAGCTCTCTTTTCAATATATCTATAATTTGCATTAAACTAGGTTTTAATTTTAAGAGATCAGATGACTTCTTTAGACTTCACTTATTTTACAAACAAATTATGGACATTTCATTACACTTAAAGCCTAGCTTTACCAAAATAACCCCACAAAATCAGCACAAGGGGCATGATTTACCTTCAGTGTGATGTATCCCTTGTGCTTCTGTTCTAGTTCAGTAGTAATCATCCTCCTCTGATGCTCCCCACTCCCGTAAGCTTCCCATGGGGCAGGGCTGAACAGAACTGAGGAGCGGTCACAAACAAACACTCTCATCAAAACTGCTTTGCTATGCTTGCCCAGCTCTGCCATTCATAGAAGCTTTACTACAGCTTCTATGAAAAAACAGGATCTATGAAAGGAGGATAGGTGAATGATTGCAAGGTCTACTCCCTCATTCATAGATCGAGGCTCACTCATAGAAGCTATAGTACAGCTTCTATGAATGGCAGAGCTGGACAGAAAGGGTGGGCATAGTCAAGCACTCTTGATGAGAGCCTGTGATAGCTCCTCTATTCTATTTACCACCCCCATTGGAAAATTATGGTGTCAAAGGGCATTGGAGAAGGCAAATTACTACTGAACTAGAAGACAGAGGCACAAGGGACACATCACACGGAAGGCAAGGAACATCCCTTGTACTTATTTTGTGTGTTTTGTTTTAGGCAAATTAGGCTTTAAACAAGTCCAAGTATATAGGACTTTATTAACCCATACAAATGCAATGCCGTGCTGTATTCCTCATCTACCAGTCGGCTCCAAAAGGCTTCCTGGAACTAAATTAACCTCTTCCTGCCCTTCCTGGCAGCCCTTTAATGGGTTCTGAACAACCTAGAGTGAAAGAAGGATCAGCAATCATGTAATCGCTGCGATTGGCTGTCACAGTGGTTACATAACTGGGAGTGGTCCCACTGGCTACCAATTATTAGTGGAGACAGAGAGCGGTCTTTGAGCGTGCAGTCAGTGCTAGCTCAGCACAGAAACATTGACCGTCCAGTTATGCACATCTACAGCATGTGGGCATTAAAGCCCATCCTTTTGCTGCCACGTGTGTTACACAGATAGCAACAGGTTAATGAAAGCAGAAATCTGTTGCTATGGATAATTCCATGTGGTTAATAAAGTCTCTTTCTGCATATTTTACTTTTCTGGAAAGGGCCATTTCCTCTACAATACAAATGTCACTAATGTCATTATTTTCACTTCATAGCTTTTTCTCTGAAAGATTATTCATTCTTCGTTTCAATAAAAATTTGGATTGTGAGCCAACAAACTGTAAGACAATATCAGTCTTCACAGGTCTCCCAGGCATGAAAAATATTAAACAAGATATCCAATATTCATACCTGTTTTTTGTTGTCAGCGACTACCAGAGCAGACTGGTTCATGGCTCGGATCCAGGCATTCATGTCCTCTTGTGTGTCTGCTCCAAAATAATAAGTCCTCATTCCAGGATGTTCTGCCTGAAAAGTCAGAGCACAGAAAGACCAGATATAAAACAGTGCCGTTATTCATGAGAGCTGAATCTAAAGGAAGTGGATGAACTGTCTGCAGCTCCAGATTCCTTCTCTATACACAGAAAATGATGTAATAAAGACAGTGTCTTGTTGGCCCATATGGGCAACCGCCCAATTTCTCATCATCTCCACCTTTTTCAATAGGTAATAAAAAAAAAAAAAAAAAAAAAAAGGAAGTGTGACACACACTTAGACTTCACATACACTTTGACATAAACTGAACACCAACTTAAAGTGCACTTTGGGATGCCTTAAAGAGTGTATGTAAAGATTTGTTGTTTTTCTGAAACATTTTGTATTAATATTTTGTACTTTTTTACAATAAATATGTTCAGTATTAAAAAAAGAAAACATTTTCCTCAGTTGTGGATGGAATGTGGAACAGTCAGACATTTTAATATCTGCTTGTCAGATTATCAGAATTATGAAATGTTTGAGTTACATATTCTTTAACTGATATGTGCCTTCTGTACCATGAAAAAGTAACCTGTTCGGTTTGCTTTGCTTCCTTTGTGTGAAATCCATGGTGTTCCTGCCAGCCCCTCTGCTTTCCTATTAAAAAATGACCACAATAAGCTTGAGAGCACAGCGTGGTCAGTTTTTTGACTGTGCTGGAATTCCGTGTGCTTTCGTCCAATTATGAGACTTGTTCTGACACACACCCCTCCCCCCAACAGCCATTGACTGGGAAGATTAGTGTACTGCTGTTTTCTCATCCGGTAGCTCTTATACAGCTGAGAACAGAGGGTGTTCACATTTGATCACATTTTTATTTTAAACTGAATGGGTTGTTTTAAAAGGTGAGGGTGTACATTTACTTTAAGGAAATACACCAAATGGGCACACAAATCCTGTGTTTCAAGAATGGGAATTTTGTTCGCTATGGAGCCAAAAAATAACTTGATATGGAGTTTTAACCCTTTCCTACACTATCTAAAATTTACATTTTACTTAATTTAGCTTGATAAATCAGCATTATTGTTTTATTTAGTACATACCTTAAAACTAAATCTCCTATTTTTCACTTCTCTTGGGTTTGCAGGTAAGATTTCATAACTTGGTAACAGAATGCTGCCAAGTACGGTCTCCTCTCGGCTGTCTGGAAAAGATAAGCACAACACAGTAAGAACAAAACAAGAATACTTCTCTATGAATCAATTGGTACAATTAAAGAGGTTGGTATTTCCCATAAAAATGGGCAGCACAGTGGCTAAATGGTTAGCACTTCCACCAGGCAGTACTAGGGTCGTTGGTTCAAATCCCAACCACGGCACCACCAGTTTGCATGTTCTCCCTGTGCCTGCGTGGGTTTCCTCCGGGTACCCCGGTTTCCTCCCACACTCCAAAGACATGCTGGTAGGTGAAGTAGATCCTGTCTAAATTGGCCCTAGTATGTGTATGTATGAATGTGAGTTAGGGACCTTAGATTGTACACCCCTTGAGGGTTAGGGACTGATGTGAATGTACAATATAGATGCAAAGCGCTGCGTAAATTGATGGCGCTATATAAGTACCTGAAATAAATTTAAAAAAACACACGCACATACCATACATAATCAGCACATTGTCGCCTTTCCCCGTGTGTCAACACCCTAAAGACCTTGCAAAAAACACACACCAAAAAAAAAAAAAAAAACCTGTTGATCTGTCACATAGTACTTGTCCCTTAAGTCCTGCTATAAGAATGACAAGATACAGCATCTTTGTGGACTGAGTGGTGTCAGCTCTGCCCAGCTGTTTTTTTCCTAAAATTCTCAATGCATCCTGCTGTTTTCATCTCCAAAGTACAGGCATTAACTGACTTGCAGTCCCAAGCGAAGCACTGGGAGGGCATAATAGACTGAGATAACAGAGGAAGAATACAGCACAGTTCTGAATTTCTGATAAGATCAACAGCTTTTTATTTTTGCACTTATAAAACAATAACAACAAAATGCTTTCAAAGGGTATATTTTAAAGACCAAAGAAACGGAAATAGGAAGTTCATTGTGTGTTCATACGGAACAAGGACAATTTTTCCATTGGTTTGGGGTATTTTACCGCAAAAGAAAAACTATACTGTATATTTCTTGTGAGCATTAATATCATTTATGGATTACCTCGGTAATAAAATAGGCAAAAATCAGACAGCACAAACCATCTTCTCTTCCAAAGTCGTAAGCCTTGACTGTCCTAAGAGAAAAAAAAAAAAAAAACTTTTAGAGCCAAAAGATCAATGTAGTTCTGTTACAGATTTGCGTTTTTTTTTTTCTCCAATTAAACATTATGAAGTTTTCTAAACTGACACTAGAGGGAGACCTTTCCAACGTCTTTGTTATCAGGCAGAGAAAGGAACTCCACAACACACAATACATCAGTGAACAGACCAAGAAAGAAATGCAATATACAGTAAACAGCAACAAATCAGATTTTGGCCCATTAAAGCCATATCACGAAGGATAGCTTTTGATTGATTGCTCACTGTTACTGAATTTTGGGTAAGCAAAAGAAAACAAAGTGTAACCACTGACCTGTTTATAGAGCCAGCCCCGAATGACCACAGAGAGAATTGGGGTCTCTCTTAATTGAATATTCTCTTTTTCCAAATGTGTGCACTCTTTTTATTGCTCTGGTTGATGGCTAAGAATAAAAGATAATTAAATGTTAACGGTTATTTTTAATATGTAAGCTGATCGACTATGTGACTATATCGGTCCTCTTAGGTCAAGACAGCCCACTTTGCCAGTTGTCTCTTCTGGGCACACACAATTGGCCAAAAGTCTGAACTAGGTTACAAAATGGGGGCTGTGATGGACTCAACAGTTGTCATACTAAAGAATCTGAAACACGGTTAGAGTCTGTTGCTAATAGAAATTAGTTAAGAGGAGATTTGAGCAAATGTTAGGCCATCCAAAGCTTTGTTCTATAAGGCAGTCCAACATGGTGATGGGCCAGTAGGAAAATGGTGGTGGTGGGGGTGTCAGGGACTGAAAAGGATCCAACACGTCCAAGTTCCTGAGCTTTGCTTTATAGAATGGACCAGCATTTGGGTGAAGCTGTAGGTATTGGATGCAAGACCAGGAACCTTGGGGTACCTGTATTTTATACCCATCAGTGCCTTTTTATTCTTAAATTGGCATTATAATGAACATAAAGTTACTCAAAAACAGCCGAAGAAATAAAGCTCATCACATTCCCCCATATAGCAAATATGCTCAGTGCCATCAGATCAGACCCCCCCCCCACCCTGTGCACACGTTTCATTAGAAATGATATCTTCAGGGGGAACAGAAACACCTGTGATGTGCCTTCTTTCTTCTTCTGCTGCTGTGCGAGGACACGGTTTACAATAAATCTGGATTAATTTTAGGGGGTTACTCTATGTATGGTCTCTTTGATGAGATCTATATAAAACATAAGCATTCCTGGGAGTTAAATGGAATAACCTGGGGCTGTTGGAGGGATTCCCTTGCTGGCTACCATCTGCTTCATATTATGAAAGAGCGCTTTTGACCTCCATAATGAGGTGTCTCTGGACTCAATAAGAGGAGTATTTTTAGTGGTGATGTCAGTGAAGGAGTGTCCCCAATGGCGATCACTGGGTGTCGGAGATCTTAAGTGGTCACAAGTAGTCATTACATGTTATACAGCACTGTACAAAAGTCTTAGGCAGGTCTGAAAAAATGCTATAAATGAAGAAAGCTTTCAGAAATAGAAGTGTTCATAGTTTACTTTCCATTTTTTTTAATTGATAAAAATAAACAGAGAAATGAAACATTTGGTGTGACCACCCTTTGCCTTCAAAATAGCATCAATTATTCTAGGCACACACACACTTTATGAAGGAAACTCAGCAGGTAGGTTGTTTCTAATATCTTGAAGAACCACAGATCTCCTGTAGAAGTAGGTTGTCTCAGACCCTTCTGTCTCTGTAATCCCAGACAGACTCTGTGGGAGGCAAACCATCACTTCCAGCACATTATGTCAGACTTGCCTATAGAACATATCCTCCAGCGGTGACCTGTCACCACTGAAAGGGATTCCATCTTCACCTGTTCTTCCTTCTGGGTTCGTCGGGGACTCTGGGCTAAGCCGCAATGCCACCACTCCCAAGCGCACGAGAGTCACAGCCGCAGCACAGAACTCGTAAGGAACGGCATCAGAGTGCATACACCGGCATCAGAGCACATCCCATCAGAGCGCATACGCCGGTGACGTCACCAGCTGCTGGTCACTGGAACAGACTTTACTACCACTTTAATGACTTTGGCTGTATGTTTGGAGTTGTTTCCCACCTGCAAAATAAATTTGGGGCCAAACTACATGCCTCTCTGATGGTATGGCACGATGGATAAGTATCTGCATGTATTTCTCAACATTTATGACACCATTGATCCTGACCAAATCTCCAACTCCATTTGCGAAAATGCAGACCCAAACTTGCAAGGAACCTCCACCATGCTTCACTGTTTGCCTACAGACACTCATTAGTGTACTGCTCTCCAGCCCTTTGTGAAGAAACTGCCTCCTGCTACAGCCAAATATTTAAAAGTTTGACTCATCACTCCACAGCAAGAAAGCATACAGGTGGGCGCAAACACCTACAGCATTATCCAAGGTTTATTAAAAGTGTAAAAAGACAAAAAATATACTATAAGGCCATGGAGCTGGCCACAAGGATGGCAGAGTGTCCGAATGATGGTGCGGTCGGCCGTCTGACACGTTTCGGGGACGAATCCCTTTCCTCAGAGCTATGGCCAGCCTTAAACTTTTAATAAACCTTGGATAATGCACTAGGTGTTTGTGCCACCTGTATACCTTCTTCCAGTTCTGAGGAGAGCTGCATCTCCAGGACGTTATGGATGGAATCATAGATTTGTGTCCTAGATATGACAGAGGTCCAGAAGACCTTATTCATATGCTCTGGAGGTGCCTGAAACTGCATACATATTGGCATGATATTGTTTCTCTTATATCCTCCATTTATCAGGTTACCTTGCCAGCAGAAACTAAACAAAACTATGTCTTTTTAATAGGTTTGAGGAGTCTATTGTACCCACTGAGCTGATGCCTCCAGTCACCAGATTACTCTATATAGCACGAAAATGTATAACACAAAAATAGATATCGCCCGCCCCTCCCTCAGTAACAGAGTGGAAAACTCAGGTTAACAATGTAAACTCCTGAGAAAAACTAATATTTAAACATAAAAACGGTATTAGAAAATTTTAAACAATATGGGGCCCTTGGCTGCCAACACCCGGTTTGGCTCCATTCCATATGATGGCAAAAAGATTGCTCTCTCTATAAATATGTGGTGCCCTCTACTGTACAGTATCACCGTTGAAATTTACAAGTTTGCGGAAAGACGTGCAGTTTGACACTATTGGAAGGGGTAACAGACTTGGGTCAACTTGTGCTGGTTTAATAGTTTTATTGGTGTAGGATATATGTTCATACGGTGTATAAAAATGTCCCCTCTTTTCATTTTGGAAAGTTGCTGTATATATTATATGCAATGCCAATTGAAAAGCAAAAAGGTAAGAACACTGTTGATTGCTTCTGGAACTATAATGGCACTATCCGTATGCCTATGGTCTGGGACGTAGGTGTTACTTATGGAATACCGATTTATCACTGTATGACCAATGTTATTTGATTTGTTTGTAGTTTGTTGTGCACAAAATTGTGCATTTGTTAAAAAAAACCAAAATGTTGAAAAACCTAATAAAAAAGACCCGATTTAAAAAATATATATATAAAATTATAGAACCAATTGTGGAAATATTGATCTCAGCTTCAATAACAAACTGAAGTACATTTCTAGCAATTGCACATTATGAGTCATTGTAAGGTTTAAAAAAAAGTAAAATTTTGGTGTTTCGTTTTTGCATTACTTATTTGTTTTGTGTTTTGCATGTTGTGGCGATTGCATTTTAGTAAATCACATTACAAACACACTTTTATCTATAGGTTTCACATACATAACACACGATTTAGGATTTTTCTGAACATTGCATACATAAAAAGCAGTGCAATGCACCCGCTTATTCTGGCTAAACTCACCCTTGACCCCAGACTGGTAGAGGTGGTTGTGGCAATGCTGCTGGCCACACTGAGGCCACTTCTGGGACGTTCCATTTCTTCAGTCATGGTTGGCGGCTTCTAATGAGAATGGGATGGTCTCTGGCTGGGTCAGGAGTTCATCAAAGTCCCTGTAAAATAAACACTTCTTTAAATGATCCATTCCTGGTTAGTCAGCCAGAAAACGTGGGTATTAAAAAGGCCTGGACAGCTCATTGACTTCCACCAACACAATTAGCCTGAGAAACAACAAAAACCAGAGACCTCCGATATACCAGACCTTAAAGTCTAAGATGACAATGGGTGGGCATGGACATACAATGGGTGGGCATGGACATACAATCTACAATTGGACATACAATTTCTGAAGATGACGGGCACTAATATTTTACCATTGGTCTTTTATAAACCCCCAAAAGACTACTGTCACCAAGACTTTCTCCATGACCCCCATCAGTGTACAGATTCTACATATATGGCATAGAAGGATCCCGAAATTCTTATGTTAGAAATTGGTCTCTGTTTTGGCTCCATGCACACTAACTTAAATAAAACTGCCAGTGCTCTTGGCAGAAAAAAAAACACAACTCTAATTTTGAGTTTTTTTTGTGCTAGCGTGTTTTATGCAGAAAAACAAAAACACTCAAAAAAGGAAAAACAGAATAATTATTTTCTTTGCTTCTAAACGCAGAGCTTAAAAAAAACACCTACAGACTACCTAATGTGTATGGACACATAGGATTTATTCATTTCAGGTACTTATATAGCGCTGTCAATTTACGCAGTGCTTTACATACACACACTATATATATATATATATATATATATATATATATATTTTGAACATTCACATCAGTCCCTAACCCTCAAGGGGTGTACAATCTAAGGTCCCTAACTCACATTCATACATACACATATTAGGGCCAATTTAGACAGGATCCAATTAATCTACCAGCATGTCTGAGTGTGGGAGGAAACTGGAGCACCCGGAGGAAACCCACGCAAGCACACAGGGAGAACATGCAAACTCCATGCAGGAGGCGCCATGGTCGGAAATCTAACCCATGACCCTTTTACTGCAAGACGGAAGTGCTAACCACTAAGATACTGTGCCGCCCATAGGATGATGTTGGTTGCCTATACAGTAGCGACAAAACACTAAGCTCCTCCAAGAGACGTGTTTTTTTAAGACAGTGTGCATGGAGCCTGAAGCAGATGTTCTTCTATGTATGCTTCCAGTAGTAAATTGATGCACCTGGAACCTTAGGAGAACGGCAAGTGATACTTTAGTACCAGAAGTTTGTTTATTGATGCTCTACTGATGGTGTCCCTGTGGGGTATCTGGGTAATATGTGCGCTGTTTCTGTGCACCGCGGAAGTGCCACAAAAACTTTGGGACATGAAGACAATATTGGAGTCAAAAATCAAAGACTTGCACTGGAATATTAAAGTTCAAATATTGGTTTGATTCCAAACATTCACTGGGTACAAGAGCCAATGCATTTCACGGGCCATATTTTGCCCCCTTCATAAGGGATTATGGACAGATCTGTTTGTGTGGACAGTCATTAAGGCCAGCCATAGACGGGATCGAACCTCAACTGGTTCAGCAGGGACCTGCCAAAATTTGATCCATGTATGGGCAGGCTGGTTATACCCAAGTCGACTTTGGTACAATTAGCCTGTTGGATTTGTTTACATGCAATCACTGCCAGCGGCTATAGTCCTTAGTAGTAATCAATGTGTAAATTTTTTTTCCGGCTGGAAACAATAGCGCTGCAGGAGGGATTCCCTCATCAACACAGTTAGAAATCTAGCATTTTTTTCCCTTCCACTAGTGGTAGAAGGAAAGAAAGAAAATCAAATCTATGGCTTGCCTTATACTCTCAATATGCGTTGTTGTAACGAACTTAGTTTGGATTTACTCAAACCAGATGATGAATGTTAACAGATCTCACATTTCCATTAACACCAATAAAGGGGACAATTTGCCACTGAAGTGGAGAAACCACCACCACGACATATGGTGGGCATGGAGGATGGGAAATGAAGAAAGCAAGCTCTGAAGAGTTGGCTGGACCTGCAGTAAGTCTGGCAAAAACAGAGTTTTGCAGAACTTCCATCTTTCCTTTCTCAAAGCTACTAGATATGAAATTATTTGTAACAACAATGTGACGTCTGGATGTCTTCTCCTGCCACTAAAGTGTATATAAAGCCCAAACATTTTGTTTTCTATAGAATGTGGAAAAAGTTAGAACCAATAATGTTTTTGTTTCCCTGCTGGAGAGATTCAACCTCATCAAGGTCATGGTGACCATTGCCTCCGATACAGATTTGCCTTTACACACCTTCCTGACACTGCATTTTTCTACAACTAAGAAATGGAATATATAAAATAATTTTTGCCTTGCAAAAATACATCCCGACATTAATAACAAGAAAAAAAAAATATTTCTATAAATATAAAAGGACTCAAGTTTATCCTCTAGGGATTAGAAACCAGACCCCTATTACTGGTTACAGCACGATTTTAAGTCTATTAATGTATTAGGCCAAACAGCAACGCTGTCAATCCATATATTTGTGGCAACGTGCAGCTGTTACTGGCCCTCTGTGATTGGAGAATACATACTTTGAGTCCCCCCCATCCCACTCAGACATAAATGGCTTTTTTTCTTCCCTTTGCAGCTTTGAGTAGACTGACAAAAGTCCCAGTTAGTGACATTAGAACAAGGGATAAAGCCCGATTATGATGCTGCCATCTTAGGAATGTTTGAACTATTCAGGGAAGTGATGAAGAACACACAGATCTGCCAAATGAAGGAAACAAAATTAACTTGCATTTAGTGAAAGAACCCCCCCCCCCAAAAAAAAAAAAAAAAAAAAAAAAAAAAAAAAAAAGAAGAATGTACAGTATTTTCTGCGTGTTTGCGGAATACTGTACTGAGATCCTTAGTAGGCATTTGCAATTTACAATGAACGCCCTTGTGTTCCTAACATAGTTACACACATAGTTAACCATCTGAGCTCTAAGATTTTACCCCCTTCGTGACCAGAAGATTTTTTGCTTTTTAGCACTGCGCTACTTTAAAAAAAAAAAAAAAAAAAACCCCCCAAAAAAAAAACCACAAACAACATGGAGCTGCACCAATATTCTAATAACATAATAGTAGAAGATAATCTAAAATAGTAATACAACCTAACATTATCAAAATATCAGCAGATCATGGGTGCAAAATTGGGGGGGGAACTGTGATGTAAAGGGGGGGGGGTTGGGAGTGGACCGTGATGTAAGAGGGGGGGGGGGGGGGGGGGACTGTGATGATGTGATGTAAGGGGAGGGGGGGAACTGAGATGTAAGGGGAGGGGGGAGCTGTGATGTAAAGGGGGGGGACGGGGACTCCTTTCCCTCTTGTATTGAACTGTATTGTTGCTGTATTGTCTCCCGTTATATTGTAAAGCGCTATATAAATCCTGTATAATAATAATGTAAAGGGGGGAACTGTGATGTAAAGGGGGGAACTGTGATGTAAGGGGGGGACTGCAAAGTAAAGGGGGAAGAAACTGAAATACAGGAGGAAACTGACAAAGAAGGGGGAAACTGACATAAATGGGGTGGGGACTGTGATGTAAAGGGTGAGGGGACTGTGCCATGAAAAAGGGAACTGTGACAGAAAGAGGAGGAAACTGATGTAAAGGGGGAGACTTCGTGACAAAGCATGTGTGTGTGTGTGGGGGGGGGGGGGGGGAACTATGACGTTAAGGGGGAATTTTGATATGGGGGGGGGGGGGGGGGGGGGGGGTCTGTGACAAAGATAAACAGGGGGGAACTGTGATTCAGGTGGGGGATTGAGGACTGATGTAAGAAGTGGACTGTGATAAATGTGAGGGGGGCTGTAGTGTGAAGATCTGAGTCATCGCACAAAACATGCGATTTGGACCTCTGCTGAAAGAAAACTTTTCTGATTGGACCACCATGAAATTTTAATACCATACCCCTGCTCTGAAAGAAAAGAACCCTTTCCTCAATCTAAAGTTAAATTTCCTTTCTTCTTACCTTACCACGTCTTCTTCAGGGACCTTAGAGTAAACAGTTTCTTACAGTTACTAAAATAACCTTCCATATATTTGTACAATGCAATCATATCCCCTCTTAACCTCTTCCCCAGAGTGAATAACTAATTATGTAATTGATCCGCATAGCTGAGGTCCTTAATTCCCCTTATTAACTGTGTTCCCTTCACTGAAATCTTTTTAATTCAACATCCTTCCTGAGGACTGATGACCAAAACTGAACTGCTCATTAAGGCCTCATGCACATTCAACATTTTATTTAGCTCTCCTAGAAGCCTCCTCCTGGCAGCAGCGTTTTGGGCAAAAAAAAAAAAAAAAAAAACCCCACCTGATGCTTGTAAAAGTGTGTAATGCATTTGCCGCGTTTACAGGCGTCAAGTTTTTTGGCGTTCATCCATTTCATTGGACACATAGGTTAACATGCAGGAGGGTCAAGAGATGGGTGAAAAAAAAAACAAAAAAACCACTAGCTGCCCCTAACACCAGCTGTAAAAAAAAAATGTCCAGTGTGCATGAGGCCTAGCCAGAATTTTATCAAGGGGTAGAATTATTGATTTATCTCTTGCATGTATGAATGTATGCTCCTTTGTCAGATGGGAGTATTCTTCTAGCTTTGTTAGCTGCGGTTTGGCATTAGTCAGTGATCTACAAGCACCCCCAGATTCTTTTCCATCTAAGACTCCCACCGGGGAACCCCTCCTAAGGTGTACATTACTTGTGTATTTTTGGCGCCCAAGTGCATACATTTCTCATTATCAGCACCATATGGTTTCATTCAAAATTACGTAGAAAACACAACTATGTGGAATAACAAGGATCAGCTTCTGTGTACAGAAACCCAAAGGGTCTACCTGCAAGCAATTTTTTGTGTGTGTTAACTTCTCTCCTTCATAACCCAAGTCTGAGAGTCAGCTGAATGGGCCCCCATGTCTGCTGACTCCTAGAGTTGCTTGTGGTCTCTCGTTTCTATTGTGAGTAGGTATTGGAGGCCATGT